GAGTTCAGCTGGTGTCTTGGCTTTCCATGCCTTTTTACACCTCCCTTTCTTCATGTGTTCAATACTTTTTGTTTTTACTTCATTTCTGGACATTTATGGTTTGATTTCTTTGTATGTATGGATCACTTGGGTTGTTACCAACATCTGGTGAAAATTTCAGGTCATTAGCACCTCTAGTAATATATTTACTGAGAAAAATGGTGACGTGTTCAATACTTATTTTACCCGCTGTATAGTTTAGATTTGTTTTGTGCCCTGAGATAACTTTTGTTGTGAACTCTCACTATCTGAATAAACTGCATTGGAAAAACAACTCTTAGGTTTTTGTTTGTTTGCTTGGAAGGTCCAGAGGAATTATTGTCTCGTCGTTAGTTTCTCAGCTCCTGTTAACTGCTTCTTAGCAGCATCCATTAAGTATGTCTTGAATGACCCCCTGAGACGGTTTTTCCTGCCCTTCCACCTGCTGTCCTCAACTTTCACCACCTCTATCCCCCCTGTTTCTGCCTTACAACAAAATAACCACTAACACCAGTTTATGTTGGTGAACAAACGTCTAGAAGCTGAAACTTTTTGTTTTTCACATTGTTGTTTCTTTTGTGGAAAGACAAGCAAAATGCAACATTAAAGAGAGACAGTTCTGTTTTGACCATAACAGGTTGAACATTTAAGGGGGTGAAGGAGCGCTGAGAAAAACAGCCCATTGGCTTGTTAAATAAACGAACTCCCATAAAAGGAAACGTGGGGTTTCCCTTCACCTTCAGGGAATACAATACAACTTCTAAAAGCAGAGACAGAGCAGCTTCTCAGATCTGTTTCCACCTCTGGCACACGGTAAGAACCTTTCTCTCTTGTCTCGTTGGGAAAAAAGTTTTTATATTTTTAGTTTTATACCAGTTATGATTTTATGTATGCTGATGTTTTATGTTCACAAATCCATCACTCTCTGTGTTTTACTGGCTGACGATAAAAGAAGACAAGATTAGAACTTTCTGCAGTGAACGGATGTTTGTTTTTTTAGATCTTAATATTCGGAGGTGAAGCTTTCGGTGCTGCAGGTGTACACGACTCTGAGAGAAGGAAATGATCGTCCCAATATTTATCCAAATGTTCTTTTAGACTGTAAAAGTCAGGAGCTCACTGATATGAAAACCTCATTCAATAAAATGACCTGCAAGTTTTCAACAAATGAGCTCATGTTGGTCTGAAGTTGAGACTCCAGTACTTTACTGACATTGTTTAGATGTAAACAAAATGTTTTAATGCAAAGAAAAATAGGGCAGTAACTGTGATGGTAAATATGTATGAAATCACTTGTATTTTTATTTAATTGGTATTACTCCTTTGATTAAAAATTTGTACATGTAAGTATCCTTTAAGTATACTAATTTTAAACAAAAAAGAGTAGTTTACTTTAAATCCTGTTTACTTTTTATGTACTTATCTGAGATATACTTAACCAAGTTTATTCTACACTATACTTGGCTTGTACTAAAAGTATACTAAAAGTTTAAGTATACTTAGTTTATACTAATGTTTAAACTTTCATACAGACTGGTTTATTTAAACTAAAGGATACTCAGAAGATTACTTTTAGCATAGTTCTGAGTATACTTTCATAAACTGACTGTAAACTTATTGTGGCCAATGTAGCCCTAGAAGCATACTTGTTAGTAAACTGCTAGTATACTTACAGTATATCAGTGTAAATGGTAAATAAAAGTACACTTAGGGAAATACACTTTTATATACTTTAGTATACTTAATGATATGTACTTAAAGTAAACTTCTTCTTGATAAGTTTATAAACTTAAAAATACATAACAGTATACTTAAAGTATACTTTTTATAAACTAAAGAAAGCCCCAATTTATTACAAACAAGTATTAAATCAGTATACTTTCTTGGACAGTACAAGTACATGGTGCCTAGTAAACTTGATATACTTAAACTTATACTCAAGTATACTTATTAAAATGAAC